GCGCTGTGCCTCCTCACAACGTAGGACCCGAGGGGAAGGGAATGTTGGGCACCCCTGAGAAAAGTTGTTGGCCCCTGTAAGAAGGTGGGGTGATTCTTGCCCAAGGGTTGATTAGTTTGGGTCTTGTCAAGCTTATCTGAAGCAGAGATGGGTGCTTATAAGAGACTGAAGACCTCTGGGGTTGGGCTTTTTTGTATGGTTGACCGATTGACAGTCACTAGGGAGATCAGGAGCTTATGGGGTTGTCACTTTTGCCCATAAAAGAGATGTTGAGGGCTGGCCGGTTTTCTCATTTGGTTAGACTGTGGTATTATAACACCAAGGTCAAGAGTTTGGATCCCCAAACCAACCAGCTGCCAAAAAAAAAAAAATGATATCAAAACAGTGTAAGTTTTCTCAAGGATTTTATCCTATTGTAGAATTACAGGTATGTCCACTGATAAGCAGAGACTACATGGTACATTCTTCAGTCATTTTCAAGTAAAAAGGCTGACTGAAAAGTAAATGCCTGAAGGTAACCTTTCCTGTTGATGAGAAACCCAAGATACTCAGATGTAAATGAACCCGTAGGGACCCTTGGCTGGCCAACCAACAGTTATGGTAGGGAGGGAGAGGAGTGAGTTCTGACCTCAAGAGTGACAGCAGTGATAGATTGTTCTAGAACAGGATCCAGCAAACTTTTTCTGCAGAGGACCAGATAGTAAATATTTTAGACTATATGGGCCAATAGGCAAAATCAAGGCTATTATATAATTATTTATATAGGTATAGACAAAACAAATTTCCCTATTTTTTGACAAGATTCAAAGTATAATGAGTACATTTTTTCACAGTACAGGTCTACTAATGTAAAGAATGGAATTCTTTTTTGAGGGGGATAATATTTCATTTAGTTGGGATTCAAAGGTAGTATTTTCTCTCATCAAATGGATTGAAAATGTTCATCAGTAAAAACATTCTTAGCTCATGGGCCATATGAAAACAGAATCAATCTACAAGTATACAGCTGATAATAATATCAGATAACATTTACTGAATAATGACCAGGCTAAGTGCTCTGCTTGTATTATCTCACTGGATCCTTCTATAACCCTGTGATCTAAGTTGTTAGTGTTTTTTCATTTTATAGGAAGGACAGCAAAGAGAATGAGAGGATGGCACTTGCCCAAGGTTGTCATCCTATGAGTGGCAGTGGGATTTACTCCCAGGTCTGTCTGAATTCAGGGTATAGGCTTGTAACCGCTGAGCTCAGGCACCCATGTGAGAAGGAGTCAGGAACTGACACTGACAATGACCAAGGCCTTGATGAGATGCTGAGCCTTTGTAACCACCCCCATTTTTATTTCTTTGCCTTTTCATTTTTGTTTCCTCCATTTGTCTGTCTCTCTGATTGCAACCATCACCCCATAAGCAAAAAGGGCTGGTGGTTTCTGTTTAGGAATATGAGAGGGGTAGAGAGAGGAGTGGGAGGGAAGGAAATGGGCACCTCCTCCTTTGTAGTAAGCTAGGGTAGAGGAAGAATCCCAGGGAATCAAGAAGGTGGTGTCAGTTTTAATCAAGAAATCAGACCCAACCCAAAAGGGTATAGATTGGCCATGACCTTTGAACACAGCAATTCAGGAGGCCCTTTTGGTTCTTTTATCTGATTTTTTTTTTAAATCCTTCTACCTGCTTCTATTTTATCTGCTTCCTGTAACCAACCCCATTCCTTGCTTAGAATTGTGCTGGTCAAAAGCCCCTTCCACCTGGTTTCTGGGGGTCCACACTATCCATGCCAGGCCACTGAGGCCCCCAGACTACAATTTGGAACAACCCGCAGGCTTGTCTGATCTAACGCACTACCTTACCTGGCCTGGGCATTGGCCACCAGTCCCTAATAGGTCCCCTGTGCTTAATTGGCTGCATGTCAGCTGTGGGCACACCCAGCACCTGCTGGTTCACGTATTTAACAAACTAGCCAGCAACAGTGATTGGTACATTTCAGCACCTCCCAAATCACAGGATAATTTTCCCCCCAGACCGTTGGTGGGAAGTGACATGATTCCAGCAGATTCCTGCAACTATTAGGAGCCAGTCCTACCTTGACAAGAGTATTGTCAAGAATATTGTCCTTAGAAACCCGTAATTTCCATAGTTATACAGTGACCTCAAGTGTTAGGTGAAGTAGATACAGTGCTTTAAGGGGCTCTATCTGGGAAAGCCTTTTCCTCCCACAAATAATTTTTTCCTCTGGCCTATTCTGTTTAAAATTCTACAGCCATAGGTATATTCCTTTGGTGAGGGGGAAAAACACAAGCTCGCACTTTTTCCTCTTTTGTTGCACAACAACAACACAGAAGACCTGTGACCAAATGTGTGGGGATTTCTCCCCACCAGCAAGCAAGCAGTTCTGCAGCAGGCACCGGCTGGGTGTCTTCCAATTCAATTCCAATGCTGTCTACTGGAGATAGTGTCAGATCACACAGGTTGACAGCTCATTCCCCCAAGACTGTCCCCACTGTAGACACCAGTTTCAAGTCCCAGCCTCTGTAATTTCTTGCTGACCGGCTTCAAGTTGGGATTCCCACAACCCCCTCTTTGGGTTTGATTAGTTTGTTACAGCAGCTCACAGAACTCGGGGAAATAAATACATTTACCAGTTTCTTATAAAGGATATTACAAAGGATACAGATAAGGAGATGCATGGGGCAAGGTATATGGGAGGGATTCGGAGCTTCCATGCCCTCCCCAGGCACCACCCTCCAGAAAACTCCACATGTTCAGCTATCTGGAAGCTCCCTGAACCCTGTGTTCTTGGGTTTTTATGGAAGCTTCATTATGTAGGCATGACCGAAGCATGGACAATCAGGTAGAAATGTGATTAACAAAAAGGGTGTGATCTAACAGTAGCAGACTGGGGGCGGGGAACCCACAAGGCCTGTCTGTTCAGATTCTTCTTGGCCTCTGTGCAGCATTCCTTCCTCCAGGGTATGGGGCAGGGTCTCTCCTGAAGTGGGGGTCTCATGACCTACAGTCAGCTAAGGTAGGTCAGAGAATTTCTTTATGGCCAGCTCCAAGACAGAAAGGCCAGGAAAATTCGAGTCCTGCCTTGGGGAGCCAGGAACTGTGGACAAAACCCAATATATACATATCATAATATCACATCGGGCTAAGCATTGCCCTTCCTGAAGCCTTGTTTTTAAAAGAGGAAGTCTCTGGAGAGGTAGCACACTAACTTACTGTAGCTATGATCAGCTGTTAGTTATATTCTTTAAAAAAATTTTAAATCGGGGCCGGCCCGTGGCTCACTCGGGAGAGTGCGGTGCTGATAACACCAAGGCCATGGGTCCGGGTCCCTACATAGGGATGGCCGGTTGGCTCACTTGGGAGAGTGTGGTGCTGACATCACCAAATCAAGGGTTAAGATCCCCTTAAAAAAAAAAAGTTAAAAGCAGCTCCAAGACAGAAAGGCCAGGAAAATTCGAGTCCTGCCTTGGGGAGCCAGGAGCTGTGGACAAAACCCAATATATACATATCATAATATCACATCGGGCTAAGCATTGCCCTTCCTGAAGCCTTGTTTTTAAAAGAGGAAGTCTCTGGAGAGGTAGCACACTAACTTACTGTAGCTATGATCAGCTGTTAGTTATATTCTTTAAAAAAATTTTAAATCGGGGCCGGCCCGTGGCTCACTCGGGAGAGTGCGGTGCTGATAACACCAAGGCCATGGGTTCGGATCCCATATAGGGATGGCCGGTTTGCTCACTGGCTGAGCGTGGTGCTGACAACACCAAGTCAAGGGTTAAGATCCCCTTACCGGTCATCTTTTAAAAAAAATTTTTTTTAAATCAACAAATAATAATTGTACATGTTTATGGGAGAGATATATTCTTTTCATCAAAGGGGATGTGCCTCTTAGGTGCACTGGGTACCAGCAGTGAGGAGGGTATTTCAGGGACAAGAAAGAAGGTCAGAAATGAGAGCAGAGCCAAGATGAGGCCTCGCAGTTTATCAAGTACTTCCAATGTGCCAGGCGCAGCTCCAAGTGCTCCCCAGGACTAACTCATTTAATTGTCACCACAGCACCATGATGTGGGTACTATCATCACCCCATTTTACAGATGAGGAAATGGGGGCTAAGAGAGGGTGATTTGTCCCAAGTCACACAGCTAATTAGTGAAGTCCACAGTTAGGACTGACACCTTGGTTTCTTGGTTTTCAATGTGATATTGTGCTGGGGGTCCCCAAGACCACCCCCAGGTTTGATCATTCTCGAGGAGGACTCACAGGATTCAGTATATAGTATGACCCACTACAGTGAAAGGTTGCAAAGCAAAATCAGCAAAGGGAAAAGGTACATGGGATGAAGTCCAAGGGAAACCAGGCACAAGCTTCCAACAGTCCTATCCTAATGGAGTCACACAGGACATGCTGAAATCTTCCAGTGACAAGTTGTGACAACACATGTCAAATACCTACCAGGGAAACTCATCAGACTCAGCGCCTGAGGTTTTTTATTGGGGGCTGGTCTTGCAGATGCCCTCTGCTTAGCGCATACCACAATACAGACTCCCAGAAGGAAAGACAGGTATTCAGTGAAAACCACATTGGCTGTACAGACAGTTTAGCACAGAGAGCCACTCTTGCCAGTTCTGGGATTTGTGGAAACCCTGCTAAAATCCAAGTTCCCAGTCTCTAGCCAAGGGCCAACCTCACAAGCATGTGTTAATTCTTTTCTGCACAGATAGCTTTCTACTCCACAGTGTTTTGAAAAAGCAGTCTACACTTTCCCTCTTCTGTGAGGATTCATCCCCCTGGTAAATCTTATATAATCGCCCAGGGTTAAATAAGAGAATGTAGCAGGGCACTTAGCACAGCATTTGTCACATGTTAAGTATTCAATAGATGTCATCCTCCTTATTGGCTGCTTCTTGATCATTTCTGTGTCTATTAGAGCTGTCAGGAGCTCAAATGAACTCTTAAGTAATTAATTCTGTTCCCATTTTCCCTGTCATTCCCAGGTGGCCCCTATCAGATTGAGGTCAACATCTCTGCCCCTGGCACGCTCCCCAATGGTACCCTGTACACAGCCAAGGGCTCCCAGGTGGACTTTAGATGTAGCAGCAGCTCCTGGCCCCCACCCATGGTTGAGTGGTGGTTCCGGGCCTCAGATTCCAGCCCCGAGCCCTTTGGAAACAACCTGACGGTCAGCTGCTTCACGCTGTTACTGATGTCGCAGAACCTCCAAGGGAACTACACCTGTTTGGCCATGAACATGCTCAGCGGGAGGCATCGAAAGGTGACCACCGAGCTCCTGGTCTACTGTGCGTAAGAAGTGCTCCCCTGCCCCACTTCTTCACCTTAACCCTTTATGAACTGTGTTTGTGCCTCTTCCTTCTGTCTGTAATGGCATGCCTGCTGCATGGGTCCTGACATGTTTCTGTGGCTCCTTTGATACACATGTACACACTCAGGGGCCCCTTCTAGATGCTTGTTGCTAACCAGGGGCATGGGAGAGTTCCTATAAGCCAGAGATAAACTAATGCTGAGCCTCATGCATTCTTTTTTTTTTTTAATTGAGGTGAAAGTACATATCATTAACCATTTTAAAAGGTACAATTCAGTGGCATTAAGTACATCCACAGTGTTGTGCAATCATCACCTCTATCTGGTTCCAAAATATTTTTATTACTCCAAATGGAAACCGCATACCCATCCCCTCTCCTCCCCACCCTGACAATCACCAGTCTGCTTTTGGTCTCTATAGATTTCCCTGTTCTGGACAATTCATGAGAATGGATCACAGAATCTTTTGTGTCTGGCTTCTTTCACTTAGCATAATGTCTTTGACTTTCAGCCATGTTGCAGCAAGTATCAGCACTTCATTCCTTTTAATGGTTGCATAATAGTCCATAGCATGGACGTACCACTCTTTATCCATTTATCCTTCCTCATTCGCCCATTCTTTTCCTGAACCCAGTGAGGCTGTCAGCAGCACCTGGGCCCTCTAGCACTGCTATGAACCAGCTGTCCATGAATCTTTATTCTGAGGGTGGGGGAACGCCAATTGAACACTCCTGTACACAAATATCTTGGATGAAAACCACTGTAGAAATGCAGAGAGTACTCAAAATCCGTGCTCATGAAAGGGAGCATCAGAACAACAAGTTAGTGGGCAGAATAAGGACACATTACTTCATTTGTGTGTTATTCTGAGCCTTTATAAGTCCCTATGTTCTCTGTCATAAATGACATTTATTGTATATAAAGTCCTATATTCTTGTTGTAGGAAATAGAGATGAATATAAAGAAGAAAGTAATCACTTATACTCCAACCATTATCTTTGTATATTTCCAGTAATTTTCTTTTGTAGATTTTACATATCCACCCATCCATATAAGATCCAAATGTATCTCTATTTATATGTATTACATAATATATAAAAATATATGATAATACATATACACATAATACATGAAAATATATATATGTAAGCTATTAATGCATGTGGAGTATAATAGATTTACAGGTTTATAATCTGTTAAATTTGTGTGTGTGTGTGTTTAGTACTATATGTGTATGGTTTTTTTGGAACAAAATACAAGGAGGTATTTTTTGCGGGGTGGGGGGAATTTGTCTCCTCCATCTGTAACTTCCAGTCCTCCACATGCCCCCAGCCAGAGGCAACCTCTGTTAGAGTTTAGGGAGCAGCACTGTCCTGTAGAACTTTCTGTGATGATGGAAATGTTCTGTTCTGTGTTCTAACACAACAGCTACATATCACATGTGGTTACCAAGCACTTGAACTGTGGGTAGTGTGATGGAGGAACTGAATTTAACTTTATGTAATTTAATTTACTTAAATTTAAATAGAAACATATGTCTAATGAGAAATGCAAAGACGAATGAAGCCCATGTCCTCAAAGATTTGACACCCAGCAGGGGAAACCTGACTGTTGTAGGCACTAATTTGTGCTAGGAGCTATTTTAAGGTATACTAACTGGGGTTTCTCTGAGACCCTGGTTCTGTGGTCCTTAGAGCTCACCCAATGGCTAGGTTAGAGTGTGTGATTAAGCCCATGTTCTCCTCTGGTGTTTTGCAGCCCCCCCTCCATCAGCCCCTCAGTGCTGGGCTGAGATGTCATCAGGATCGTTGATGTTGCAGCTCACCTGTCGCTGGGATGGGGGATACCCTGACCCTAATTTCCTGTGGACAGAAGAGCCAGGAGGTGTGATCGTGGGAAAGTCAAAGCTGGGCGTGGAAATTCTGAACCAGTCCCAGCTGTCGGATGGCAAGAAGTTCAAGTGTGTTGGGAACCACATCGTGGGGCCAGTGTCGGGAGCTAGCTGCGTGGTACAGATTAGTAAGTCCAGCTTGCCTCGTCCTTGGGTTGGGGTTCACCTGCCTTTCTTTCTTCTGGGAGAATCATTTGGAAGGAGTTCTAGGAAAAAAAATCCCAGGGTGTCCGAGTGAACTGAATTCCTTCCCTTTCTTCCTTTCTTTTGCTTTATATTTCCTTCCTTTCAAACTTTAAAGATGCTTAGCCAAGCTTCTTGATTCTAGTCCAAGATGTTTATCACTTGACAAATACTAATTGAGCACTTGCTGTGTGCCAGGTACAGTTTCTAAGATACCCAAGGTTCATACATTAGTTATATCTTGCTATGTAACAAATTACCCCCAAACTTAATGGCTTAAAATGACATAACCATTTATTATGATGTGTTTTATTTTTTGTTTGTTTTTAACTTTTTTCTTTAGGTTTATTTTTGGTGGCTGGCTGGTAAGGAGATACAAACCCTTGACCTTGGTGTTACAAGGCTGCAGTTCAACCAGCTGAGCTAACCAGCTAGCCTATTATGATTTCTTTGAGTCAGGTATTCAGGCAGGGCACAGTAGAGATTGTCTTGGCTTCACAATGTCTGGGGTCTCAGCTGGAAGACATGAAGTTTGAGGGGCTGAAATCATTGGAAAGATCTACTTCCAAGGTGCTCATTAACGTGCCTGACAAGTTGTTTTCTCTGCATGTGGGACTCTCTACGGGGGTGCTGCCTGAGTGTCCTCCCAACATGGTGCCTGGCTTCCCCCAGAGCAAGTGATCTAAGAGGCACTGAGCTATCCTTTTTATGACCTAGCCTCAGGAGTTACGTAATATCCTTTCTGCCACATTCTATTTATTAGAGGTGAGTCACTTAAGTCCAGCCCACATTCAAGGGGAGTGGGAAGAATTAGGCTCTACTTTTTGAAAGGAGGAGTGTCAGAATTTCTGAACATATTTTTAAAAGTACAACCATTCCTCTTTCACAGAGCAGAAATACTGGGTGGGATGAGGGTGGAAGGAAGACAGAAAGTGCAAAGACAAGTAAGACAGGTTCAGATAGGGGTAATAATTATGAGGAGAATAAAACGGTACATATAAAAAAGAGTCCTTTATAAGAAGAAGGCCACTTTTCAGAGAGTGGCAGGGAGTTCTCCTTGAGGTAGTCACATTTTGAACTGAGACCTGACGGGTGGGAAGGAGCTGGCAGATGAAGATCTGTGGGCTGGGGATTCCTGAGAGGGAATAACAGGCACAGAGGTGCTGATGTGCAAACAAACTGGGACATTTGAGGAACCAAGAGAGAGAAGTCCAATGTGGCCAGGGCGTCATGCGGAAAGTACCGATGTCTGTGGGCTGGGGATTCCTGAGAGGGAATAACAGGCACAGAGGTGCTGATGTGCAAACAAACTGGGGCATTTGAGGAACCAAGAGAGAGAAGTCCAATGTGGCCAGGGCGTCATGCGGAAAGTACCGATGAGACTAAGTGGATGTTGTGGGTTCAGTAGATGTAATCAAGATAAGATAAGGTCATACTGGATTAAGGCGGACCTTAATCCAATGACTGGTGTCTTTGCAAGAAGAAAGAAATTTGGACTCAGACACTCAGGGAGACGGCCACATGAGGCAGAGGTTGGAGCGATGCATCTGCAGCCCAAGATCCCTCAGAGCCCTTGCTTTTGTCCCCTTAGCATCCATGGCCTCCCTTGGGCTTCCTTTGGGCCTCCTTCCATACCGAATCCAGCCAGGTACTGTGAAAGAATACAGAGTCCTTGTCTTTAAAGTACTCCAAACTTGATTGGAGATGTTCCACAAACAGAAAATGGGGAAATGGCAATATCGCAGTACTAATAACAGTTAATACTGAGTGCAAACTGTGTGCACAGTGCCCTACTAAGTGTTGCAGACACAGTGTCTTGTTTAATTCTCACAACCGCCTTATGGGCTGTGTGCTCATATTGTCCCCGTGTATTAGATCCACAGGACTGCTGTGACAAAGTGCCACAAACTGGGTGGCTTAAAACATTTACTCTCTCATGGTGCTGGCGGCTGGAAGTTTGAAAACAAGGCCTCAGCAGGGCCGTGCTTCCTCTGAAGACTCTAGGGCAGGACCCTTCCTTGCCTCTTCCAGTTTCTGGTGGCCCCAGGCATTCCTTGGCTTGTAGCAGCATCACTCCAATCTCTGTTTCTGTCTTCACAGAATGTCTCTGCTTCATGGTCTTCTCTTCTTTGGGGTCTCTCTGTCCTCTCTTCTTATAAGGGCACCAGTCATTGGGTTTAGAGCCCACCCTGAGTCCACGATGATTTCATCTCAAGATCTTTAACTAATTAGATTTGCATAGACCCTATAGTCAAATAAGGTCACATTATGAGGTTCTGGTGGGCATGAATTTTGGGGGCACACTATTCAACCCACCATAATCTGTTTTATGGATGGTGAAGCAGGCAACGGACTTCCCAGACTCACGCAACTGGAGGTGGTACACACGTTCAGACTGGTGTACTATCAGAGACCTCCCAAGTGCGTGAGGGACAGTAGGTTCCAAGGAGTGAATAAATGATGGACTGATGCTGAGAGAGGGTTTTGTGTTAGTTTTATCCTCCACCCTTCCATTGTATTTGCAGGTTTTGCCTAAATCCTCATTTCTGTGGCCCTTGAAAGTTGAATCTAAATAGGTGTTCAGCATTAAGAAATTAGTCTGTAGAAGAGAGCTGAGCAGAAGATTTCCTAATTCCAGAAATATGGAAACAGGAATTTAGAACCTTCCCCACTCTGACATTGTCCACTTATCCCATCTTCCTTCCTGGGTCCTCCAGACCAGCATTTCCGAAACTTTGATGTGCATATATGGTCACCTGGGGAGGTGGTTAAAATGCACAGTCTGACTCTAGGTCTGGGGTGGGGGCGCCGAGACTGCATTTCTAACTGGCTCCCAGGAGGTGTGGATGCTGCAGGTCCAGGGACTGTACTTTGAGTAGCAAGGCCATTAGGGCTGTTTCTGGATCATTTCACTGGAGAGGACTAGTAAGACATTGAAAGGTAATGTTAATGTCTACCTCAGGGAATGCGCAGTAAGGTAGTCCCCAAGCGTGATGAAAAATGATGCTTTGGGGGGGTGCCTGCTGCCGAAATCTCTCCTTAAATGGTTTATAGGTCTCTACACTGAAGAGACCACCTGAACTTAGGATAAGCTGCAGCACTGGCCAGGCCAAATGTGAAAGCCCCGTATGTCGTCTGTCTCTTGCAATTCTCTGAGGGTCCCCACCTCTTCCCTAGCCACTCACCCCATCCTTGCACAGAGCATCACCTTAAGCTGAACCCCCACTGGCTAAATGTGGGGACTCAGCTTTCTGAGGGGTAAATGCTCTGCCTGACAAAGCATATTCTTGTGTACAACCTTTGTTTGGGGGGTCGTGGCAGAGTCACCAGGGGGATTGTTTGTTTTGCTTCTAATAAATTAGGATGAGGGGGCCACTTCTGAAACTTTAGTTTGGGGGCCTCAAAATATAAACATGCTGATGAGACTTGTCACTGCTGCTGGCTTTGTGGCCCCAAAGGAAATTCAGGTTAACTGCAGATAGAGGAAGGTGCGATTTAGCGACATGGAGGGAAGCTGATGTTCGACCCGAGAATGGGAGCTCACATGTGGGTTTTCCAAACAGCCCAGTTTTGGGGGATCCTCTTTTGTTGCTCTGACCTACAGCAAGAGGCTTCTAGGCTATTCCAGCCCCCTATGTTCCTTCCTCCCTTCCTTCTTCCTTCCCCCTTCCCTCCACTCCCTAGATTCTCCTTGGAAACAACTGCCCAGGGAAAGTAGTTTCCCTCTCCAGGCAGGAACCCAGAGTGCCACTGTTTGTCCTTCAGATGCTGAAAGTATGGACCTTATAAATCCCCCAGGATGAATTTGCTACCCTTCCCAGGAGAGTGCATTTTGAGAAAAGGTTTCTTATGCAAAGAAAACAAGTAGATCGCCATCATAGCCCTAACGGCTCACCACGTCCTGCTGAAATCAGACCCCAAGGTCACGGGGATGCCATGTTCTAAGTATTCTAGGACAGACTTGTGGTAGGCAGAATAATGCCCCCCAAAGATGTCCATGTCCTAATCTCCAGAATCTGTTAATATGTGACCTTACATGGCAAAGGGGACTTTGCTAATGGGATTAAGTTAAGGGTTTTGCGATGGGAAGCTTATCCCGGATTATCCAGCTGGGCCCAATATAATCACAAGGGTCCGTATAAAAGGGAGGCAGGAGATCAGAGTCAGTAGGTGATATGAGCACAGAAACAAGAGGTTGGAGTGATGTGAGGAAGGGGCGATGAGCCAAGGAAGGCAGCAGGCTTCTAGAGCTGAGAGAGCAAGGAAACGGATCATCCCCCAGATCCTCCAGAAGGAACCAGCCACCAACATCTTGATTTTAGTCCTGTAAAATCACTTCAGAGTTCTGACATTCAGAACTGTAAGAGAATAAATTTGTTTTCAGCCGCTAAGTTTGTAGCCATTTGTGACATCAGCAATGGGAAGCAACTACTGCTGCCTTGTCCACCTGAATATCCTTGTCAGATTGTGTGCCCATTTTTATATGATCAATTATTACACATAGAAGCCTATAGCGTAGACATAAAGAATGTGGACTACAGAAGACTGACTGCTTGGGTTCCAATATTACATAGAGTAACCAACTTATCCTGGTTTGCCCAGAACTTTCCTGGTTTTACCACTGAAAGCCTCACATCCCAGGAACTCGTTCAGCCCTGGGCAGACTGGGGGACAGTTGGTCGCTCTGAATCCTAGCTGCATCTCTAATTTAGTTGTGTGACTTTGAGCAAGTTACTTAACTTTCTCTGTGCCTCAGTTGCCTCATCTGTAAAATGGGAATAATAGCAG